TTCAAATTACCTCAAGTCACTTGGTGTAACTACTTCAACGTCTGATACGGCTGTTGAGTTCTTTAATGAATTGTTTGATCATAACTTGGTTCAATATAATCGTACCCCTAATTGTAATGGTAAGCTGCTTGATCTCTGCTTTGCCAATTTTCCTGAGATTAACGTAAATCGTTGCCCACCTTTTAGTTTACCTGAGGACCCTTATCGTCCATCAATGTGCATTTCCTTTCATCATAAGAATGATGGTTCGTTGTGCCAAATAAAATTTTTTTAATTAAATGTTATGATTTTCATAAAATCAATATTGTATTGCTAAAACATCGTCTTTCACATATGAGGCTTGGTTTCTCAACCGGAAGTATTGAAAGCTTATTGTCATCGTTCTACAATACATTAAATCTAGCTATTGCTGCATCTGCTCCGATTAAGCTGCGCCGACCTCGAAGCAGGTGACCCCCTGGTTTAATAAGACAATTAAATATTACAAGAATACAAAAAATACGCTAATCAAAAAATATTCGAAAAGTGGTTCTGCACTCGACTATCTCGCTAACTGGGTGGCGAGGCATAGATTTAACTCCCTCAACCACCATTATTACTGCAGATACCTTCAGTTCATTAAATCCTCTCTGTTTGCCAATCCTGAATACTTTTTTAAATTTGTTAACTCTAAAGGAAAAAAAAACCACATATCCCTCTCATGTTTCTTTTAATGGCCCTGAAATCTCAAATCAGTTTGCTGAGTATTTCCGACGAAACTTTTCGATTGCTAATTTCGATTTATCAGCAAACTACCCATATCCTATAACTAACTCTGTTTCAAATTCTAACTTGGTTATTACGGAAGATGACGTTTTTAAAGGGTTGAGTTCTCTAAAATATTGTTGTGCGCCAGGACCTGATCGAATTCCATCATGCGTACTTAAATCGTGCGCTGTCGAGTTATGTGGTGTGATCTCAAAGATTTTTAACCCGTCCTTGTATTTAGGTGTTTTCCCTTCATGTTGGAAGAGTAGTTTCCTTATTCCTATCCACAAGAGTGGAAGTAGACAATTTGTTGGGAACTACAGAGGCATAGCCAAGTAGAGTGTCTTGCCCAAGTTGTTCGAGCGAATTGTGACTCAGCATTTGGGTTATGCCATTAATTCGTATATTTCTCCGCACCAGCACGGCTTTCGGAAAGGGCGATCTGCAGTCACTAACTTGTTAGAGTTTACTTGTCATGTTTTCAAGGCTTTTTCTAGTGGCTCTCGGACAGATGTGATATACACTGATTTAAGCAAAGCGTTTGATATGGTTAACCATAACTTACTTATCTTTAGACTCCAAGCTTCTGGCTTCCCTTTCTATTTAGTGAAATGGATAAGCTCTTATCTGCACAACAGATCCTTCAGGTTTTGTTCAACTTGATCACCTCGGATGAATTCCCCGTTATATCTGGCGTACCTCAGGAAAGTCACTTAGGTCATTTGCAATTTGGTCCTGTACCGGTTGTAAGTGTGCTCTATGCTGATTGTGTACATGTTTTTTTCTTTTTCTTTTTTTCCCACTCTTATTTTTTTTATTGTACTTATACTAGGTTTCATTATTAATTAATATAAGTTTTGCATTAAGAGGCAATTGAACTCGACTGTTATTTGTTTAGATTAGTTTCATGTATAAGTAGAATTAAAATAAATAAATAAAGACTTCATAAGCGTACTTATCGCTGATCATCTGGTATGGATGAATCGGCTTAGCTATTTTCCTATTATTATTTTTACCCGTTAGCCCTAGTTGCCCGTGCTTTTAACACCCCTACGTACTAAATATCAGTTGAAGACCAATTACTTAGTAGAAGTTTCCTGTTCGTGTAACAGTGACACGATCAGAAAGACGTAAGAAAAGCGAAAGAGATGAGGCCGCTGCCTAGAGGTAAATGAAATGCGTTGTCTGGCATAGCCCATTGAGATGATGAAGTTAAACAGTACGTTGCTTGGAGAAGCCATGCGCATATTAACACTATCGCTTATCTTACCAAAATGCTTGTGTTAAGCAAGATTGACTATGCTTTGATAATTTATGGCAATAGCTGCAAATCTAATATCAACATCCTTAAACCGCTCTATCACCAAGCCGTCAGAGCAAGTTGTTATGCTTTTCGGACGACGCCCATAAATAATATTATAATTGAAACTGGTCTCCCAACTTTAGAAAACAGATTGTATAAGTTAAAAGCTAAAATACTCCCCAAGCTTGTTAATTCAAACAAATCCATTCTCGGTGATGACGTAAGGGAGGTTATTATTGCGAAGAAAATTCCAAAGGCACCATTTTCAATTGACCATTGTTTGTGCATCGCAAAGGAATTGAACATTCCTTTAAATATTTCCCGCTCTTTTGGTGTTAAACCTCCCTGGATTTTGAAAGACTGCTCTTTTGACATCTCGCTGTCTATGCACAAGAAAGAAGATACTCCAAATTACGTCTTCAGGAATCTAATAGCTGAGAAAACCCAAGTATTGGACAATACTGGGTGGAATCTTTTGTACGGCTCAAAATCTCCTGGTCTGCCTCCTGCTTGTGCGGTGGTAGATGCTACAGGACGGGTTCTTCTCAACCACATATTTCACAAAAGCACTTCAACTTTCATAACCGAAGCCAGAGCTATCCTTCACGCTGCCAACCTTGCCCATAAAAACATACTCAAAACCGTCATTGTTACTGACAGTTTGTCTGTATTACTAGCTACCCGGAACCCTTCGACTTCGAGATGGAGCACCATCAACAAATTAAGGAATATAATTACTACACCCGACGGAAAAATTAAAATGTTATGGGTACCAAGTCACATCGGTTTACTGGGAAATGAGCAGGCTGATCGAGCGGCAAAGTATGCTGCTTCTGCTCCTCTAATTATGGATGAAGGAAATTACAATACCATCATCAACACTACTCTTGCATTAACCCTCAATTAACTCCACCTCTATATCCAACAAATGTTGAGAAAACCAAGATCCAAACATTTTCGAGAATTCGCCTTGGTCATACAATTGCAACTCACCAATGGGTCCTGAAGAAGTCTTCTCCCCCAATCTGCTGTTGTGGACAAACTCTTACTATAAAGCACATTCTCTGCGACTGCCTCAACTTTTCCTTGGCTAGAAGTATTGCATTTGGAACGATTAACCCTTTGAACATTCTACAATCAACTTCAGAACAGAATATCAATTCAATATTTTACTTATTAATACTACTAAGCTTATTATCTAATATCCATTTATTTAAATTAGAGCCGATAGCCTGTGTTGCTAGTGCTCAATGTCTCTTTTTTTAGTCTAAGAATTCAATTCATTAGTCTAAAATTAAAATAATAATAATAATAGATCAAATTATTCCACTTCATTTCGTTTTATCTCAAATTTTACATAACTAAATAAAAAAGAAACTTTTGTGTGTGATTTTGTTATTGATTGCATAACAGTAGACAAACAAATGTGATATTTGCTCCTCATTTACCCATTACTTCTTGAAATAAATTTCGAAAACTGAAGGCCGTGCATACATAAATACATGCATACAACCAATTAGCTATCTATACATAATTAGGGCCCATTCAGCACATGAATTCAGCCTCGAGAATGCCAAAGTGAAGAAAATTCGGATATTTTCTAAAACTCTTTTTCTTTTAAATTAGCGGATATACTTCTTCTATGTTTTATTTCAATACAATTTAAAAGTGGAGAAAATATGTTATTTCTTTACTTATCCGCTTTAAGCCAAACGACGATATCATCTTCGAACAATTTACGGGGGCTGCTGTCCAGATTTTGCACTTCAAAAGAGAAGACCAATATTAACGAAAATGATACCTTGGTAATGCCAGCTTCGTCGCGAGCAAATGTTAACTAAAACATATGCAATAACCATACTATATTGCCAGATCTCCAGATCTTTGTGCTTCGTTGTCTTCAATAGGCCTTATATGCATTAGACATGTTTAGGCAAAGGCAGTAGCTTTGAAAAGGGCTCGTTAAAACAGAGTTGGGTATGGTTTGATATTTCAAAGGATACGTTAAATGATTTATTTCCTTGCATTTTTTTAAACACAGATTGTGATAGAAAAGAAAAATATTAACGGGCTTCGCCAGCATTTTAGAACGAGACATTAGTTCAATAAGTTAAATTAAATCGATCATTTAAATTTTTTTCGAGCAGAGTAATTACCGCATGCAGTGGGGAAAACCATGACTGTTCTTAGAAAATTCGAATTATCAAGTACGAAGAATTCTCAATTTTATTAGGTCAAAATCAAGCCGATGGTAGTACGGCAGTCCTTTGTTTCATATTTCTACTCCATTTCACTTTATCAAGTGTCATTAAGCCAATAGCCTGACGAGTGCTTTAAGACTTTAGTCTTTGAATTTGTTTCTTTGGCTAAATTAACTTAATGAATGTCCCAAATGCTGGATTTTAAGACAAAAAATTATTCATACAAAGCCAGCATGAATCTGTCGAATTCGTTTAGAGATCTATAGATGATACTTGGTTATAGAATAGCGGTACAATAATAAAAAACTGCTTTTGCAAAAAAGTTCCAAAAAAAAAAAAGCCTGGAAGTATCGCGTCATTGATTTAGTGGATAATCGCCTTTGATTTTGTTATTCAAATTTAAAGTTTTGGTGACGTTCATATTTGGTGCACTTTTCGATTATTTTCAAAGACTTAGGTCATTTTCTTTCTTGCAGCTGTGACTTTCTACTTGCAGTTGTAGATACGAAATTTTAAAATATTGCCACTATTTCTAAGAAAATAATTGACGGAATTATCGGAATTTATGAGTATACAAAATTTTATTTTATAACAACTTCTCTTACTTGCTCTATGCGTACTCAACAAATGCATTTTCACAACTCACAACACTGAAATTTACGTGGTATTATTCGAAATTTAAAATTTTTTTTACTATTTTTTGGTTAAAAACTAAATTGTTTAATAGGTTGTCCAAGTAAATAAATTTAATGAATCACAAAGTGTGGCGTAAACCTTTACATAAACGGAAAGCAGTAAGTTATTCAGAAATTACAAATTATATGCATATATTCCCTTGCTACATATATCTCTGGAATAATATCAAATATATTAAATTACATATTAAAAAAAAAGATTAATTTGCCAGACAATATTGTTGAGAAAATGGGTGTTCATCGAAACACAGTTTACGAATATGGCACCCCATTTTCACAAAGTCTGTGAGAGATGTTGAGACAAGGTAGCCATGTCCGTCCTTCCTTGGCACAAGTTTTTGTTGGAAAAATTGAAACGAATGCCGAACATGAATTAATTAACTGTATAAAATTCTTTCACACCAGCAAAACACTGCAGCGAACCATGTCCTACCATTAAATAGCATACTTTTATTCATGTAACGACTTTTAAAAATAAGACGTTATAGGGGAAGGGGTCGAAAACATGGTTCGATTTAAATCATTTTCAATAGCTTTCGTCGCGTCAGTACATTACATTGCATTATAAAGTAGGACAGACAAGCTTAAACAAAAACGCGATTCCGTTTCGAGCCGTATAATAGAGGGCGGGTTTATGTCAAGTCCTTCTGAGTATTATACATCCGCGACAACTATATGAATATATAGTTCTGCAATTTGGATAAACTTCTTGTCGTTATATTTACATTTTATGATTCATATCATGTTGAGTATCTATGATTCGCCTGGGGCGAATGCAGACCTCTGAGGTATTTTTAAACTGTTTGATTTAAATTCTTTCAGTGGAAGCAAATGCCTCTGTTTAGTAAACTGATCTATTACATGCAACCCTTTGTGGAACATCTATTAGATACTTGGCTGCAACCTTTACCATTTCCTACCATTCTTAAGTTTATGCACTCATGCATTTTAATGGTATTCATATTTCTCCCCGTTTTATATCCCATCCTAATAATGATCGTTTATTATGGTATATTGCAATACCTGATTGAGAGGTACGCATGCGCGCTGGAGTTAGTACAAAAAGCTATTTTCAGGCTTTCCTTTCATTTCAGTCATTTCGATATACGTTATACGAATAATGTGGACTTGATACATTATATTGATTATGTATTCAATTATCGAATGGCAAATGAAAAACATGCTCTATTTGTCCATCTATACATAGAGCGCTGGCGCTACGTGGCTGCTGCGCTGGCTTCGTTCGTCGATTATATGCGTCTAATATTGTGCTTGATGATGGGTTAAGACGTTTTTATTTTTTTACTGCTTATATTTGGATTTTTATGAACGTAATATACAATATTTGTTTTCAAAAAGTTACAAAATTTTGTTTTATGATTAGATCTTAGAGATGATTTTACAATGATGTGTATTATAACTTATAGTTTTTATTACCTTTTTGGAATTAAAAAGGGATGTTGTACAAAACACGCTTTTAAGAGGTTAATGTACTGTAGCTGTAAGTTTTTTATAGTTGTAATGCTAACAAATTAAATAAATATACACACAAAACTTAATAATAATAAATTTTTACTAGTCCACCGAGGGACGAGCTGAGGGGTCATCACGATCAATAGGTGGAGGCGAGGTCAAGACATCAACATTTTGTGCTGGACCTTGTGTGAGATAGCCGGCTGTAGAATTTAAACCTGTTTAAAAAATTAGTTTTCACATATATCATGTGATTAGCTCTTGTTCACTTTTTACCTGTTAGATACCCTCTAATGTTTGTATCCGTTATAAAAAGATCGTGGCGTTGATCTTTGAATTCTGACCACACTGGATGTTTTAATAATATTTGTGTAACACGGTCACCGTAATTTAAGTTATGTGTCATGCCTTTTAATGCAGCTACTATTTGTGCTTTAACAGCTGAAGCATTATCCACATAATCTAAGCGACTGTCCAACAAACCCAATAGGTACGGTATTAAACCTACTTCCAAAGATTGACTTATAAGAGCATCCTAAAAACGAGGTAAACTTTTTAAGACAACTTAAATTGTAAAATAAATTGACTTACATGCTGATATTTAAATAAGCGACTTAAAGTCTCGCAGGATGTTTCAATACAATTGCGATTATATTCCATGCACTTTTTTAACGGCGAAATGCATTCAGTTTGAGAAATAGCGCTAACACAAAACTAAACACAAGATTATCCTAAATAATATGTAATTTCTCATTGTATCCTATCTCACCTCTGACAGTGACAATTGATGTAATATTGATAAAGAATTCCGTGGTTGTACAGCAAGTAATTTAAGTAAGTTCGGAATATGACCTAAAACTGGTATATCATCAGCTAAGTTTGGCTGAGAACGTAATAGTTCCACCAAAGCGGTGGCGGATAAATCTAAAACATCTTTTTCTGGTGCATTTTTACTCATTTGGTCAACAAAAAAGTCTAAAAGATCTGAAAGAAATTGCTTCGGTTTACGCAAGGTCCAGGCAGGATTAGCTATGAACAATCTTAAATAAACACCGGCCACCACTATTTCATTGGACACTATGTCCTTAAGAATTTCTGGGTCTTTCCATAAATGTTTAAAATTTAGTTTTTGGGCAGTATAAAACCTATAAATAACCCGTTTCAAGGATAATATTAAAAAAACAACAAAGTTACGTCATACTTTGCAGAATTATCAGCCACAGCATCAGAAACATTATTTCTCGTTTTGTCATTCCAAATAAGCTCTGGATGTTCATGCACAGATTCGAATAACTGTACAGCTGTTTGCGGGCACTCAACCATGGCATCCACAAATAAGGCGGGCAAAAATTTAGATATAGTTATACGGACCTTTAAAGAACTAAATAAATATATTAAAAATAGCACTTAATTTTTTTACCTTTGGTCCGCTTAAACGATCGGCAGTCATTTTGGCTAGAATTTCAGCGCACATTTCCCTTAAGTGGGGATTACGGGAGTTACAAAACATATCTAGCAAATAAATCACAGCCCCTTTCATTTGAGCTTCCTTAATCATTTCCTGAACGTTTATCAAGCCTGATAAAGTTTCCAATACCTTTGGCTGACTGGCAAGTAAGTCAGGATCTTTAAGGCTTACTAAAAAATTTCCCAGCAGCTCACAAGCGGCCATTTCACTAACACAATCCTTGTTGCGTGAAACCAAGGCTACTACTTCCAAAGCCGCGGCCTTTACCGCGACGCTCTAGTATTAATTGAAAACAAATAAGAAAACAGTATTCACCTCGTAGGAAATCTCATATTTACGTCTCCTCAAAAAATACTCAAGTACTTTTATACTTTGATAGCATAAAATAATAGGATACCATTGTTAGATCTAAGGACTACAAATGAAAATGTATGTAAACGTCTAATTCCTTCGTCATTATGCTTTTAGGTAACGTTCGCAAAAACTCCATCTGTATATTTAATCAAAAAATGTGTCTACCAACTTAATTTAGGAAATCTGATGGTATGCAAGATGGACATTTCACTTTAAATTTTTCATATTTTACGGCATAAAAACGAATGTTACAAGCAAAGAACGACAAAAGCAATTCATCAAATGCAATCTTAAGATGCTTTCGAAAGTATAGTGGAAGTAAGAAACATAGAATTAATTAATTTTTCTTTACTATGAACTTACCTCTTTAAATACATTAGTGCTTAAAAAAGCAAAAATCATGTCAAAACTTCCAATACATTTTACCTCTACTTCGGCATTGGCTTTGATAACAGCAATCAAAGCCTTTAACACCATGATTACATGTTTTTCGACGTTTTGGCTGTTAAGAAAATCATGTATACATTGCGGTTGTATTGGTCGTTGATCCATAATAGTATCATTTTCCGATTTTTTGCGACTTTTTGAACGATTGTAAGCATTCAAGACCTCATCGAATGTGGACCCAGAGTTAAACTCTTGTTTTTGTTGAACTTGCCTAAATTGTGGATGGTTTGCAGCTAAAGTGGGTTTGAGTATTCCATCACCACCACCGCTCCGCGATTCAGTGTACATTATTGTTTGAGTTTTACGCAATGTGATAAATTGATATGCTTGTTTCAAATACAACAATAAATCCATAGTAAACTGTTTGGGATCAACAATAGGAAAAGAGGGCATATCATTGTAGATGCGTATAAACACACCGCCTATCTCCAATTCACTTCTGGAAAATGACAAACAGCTGTCGTTTGAAATTAAACAGTAACTAGACTTATTATACTTATGGGCGTCAAATTCAAATTTCGCAACTAGACCGTGTATTAATTTTATATCATCAAATGTTTCTTTAGTGGCAGCACCACGTTGTTGATCAAGAAAATCTATCAGCTGAGCTCTAGTACCGTTATCCCAAATCAAATAAGGATTACGGGTGTTTGAGGTTAGCATTTTTAAAATCTGAAGTTATAAATATTTTTTTGATTTTTGTATTTTCTTTTTGGTAAGATCTTTACTTTATGTATTTACCTCACTGTCCTTTTCTTTGGTCAGTTTATTGGCTATAAATTTGGTTAATAATCGCTCTAGAATTTCCTTAATCCAAACATTCTGCGCGTCGCTAGTAACATTATATTTCTGTTTTAATAAATCTACAACTTTTTCGCTTTTTATAGGCGATGTGCTCTCTAAACGCTCGTAGCTAGTAGCGGAATCTTGTTTGCTTATAGCTGAAGATGTAACTGTTGCCAAAGTTGTGGACGGTGAGGGGTTTGAAGATGATTTTGCCAAAGATGAGCTTATCATGTTAGTTATTTCTATTCCCGATGTTTTCGTCAGCTGTTTGTTCTGCAACGGGTTCTGTGCGTTTTGTGTATAAGCCGAAGTGTTTAATTTCGGTTTTGGAGGTAAAATCGCTCTATTTAATCCCCCGGTAGTAGGCGAATTATGACCAGATGAGTTCTGAGTTTGGTTGCTTTCCAATTTGTTATGTAATTCTAAAGTATATCCAGCTAAAGCTACACAGGCAAGTATGGACATTTTGGCTAATGTGTTTGCCTTCTGTTGTTGATTAGTTTTATCATTTGCCTCCACCCCGCTTTCATCCAATGTGTAATCATATTCAAAACAGAACAACAACAAAGACCAAAGCACCCCATTACAAACCAAGTTGCACTGTAACTCATAATTGTTAGCTGCTAAACTGGTGACCAAGCCTACGGAGAGCGAGTGCTTGAAATAAATCACGCGACAGACGTCTGCTATTAGACGTGGTAGGGTAATAATTTTTTGTTTGCACTTCTCAAAATTGCAAGCGACTTCAAAGCAACGCGTAACATTTGAGATAACTTGATAATGTAATGATTCTGGTTTGGAGTCGGATCCTAATATGGAGACACATCGATCATATGCTTCCAACAAAGCTTCTATGCCTTCCTCTCTTCGCAACTCTTCCGTATTTAAGGCAGAGCAGTGAACCGTACGATAGCACAACTCAGAAGCGGCGGTAAGCAACTGAGTTTCTTTAGAGAACAAATCGTCATCTTTGGTTTCCAAACGTATAGTTTTAATTAGTTGAGGATAGCCAGCATATTTATAAGGTCGTAAAACTTCAGTAAAAATAAAAAAGTTACGGTATAATTAATTAAATCCCTGCCAACAAATCTTTTTTTACAGAAACTTTGTAAAAATTTGGTCTGTTAAAAATGCTTTTTGTAATAGACCTTAAGAGAGTTAGGTGCAAACGGAAAAAACATCGCCGTGAAAAATCTGTGATAATCTATACCAAAGACAAATCCTTTAACATTAGTTTTCTAGTTTTTTTAATTATCGTGAATAGCCGATAAATTAAAACAGTTTTCGGATGTCTCTAGTGGATACCTGTACTCTTTGTGAACGTTTGTAAGATATCAAAAATATTTAAATTATTTTATTGAATTGCTGCTGTCGAATTGTAGGCATCCTGTTTACAAATCCTTTTTTTTTTTTTGTTTTACTCTACTTACCATCTGCGTACCGTTCAAAAAGTATGCTTTGAGTTCTTAATACTAGCACTATATTATTCGGATTTGGACCACCTGCACTCCAGACGTTCCTTGAGCATAAGAATTCATAAGCTTGATTGACTTTTTCGAATATTTCTCGTCCATTCGGATTTTTGTCGGGATGATACATTTGTGCCAAACGGTAATAGCTTTTACGTATCATTGATTCGTCCGGCTTGGGATATTTATTCAAATCTATGCCTAAATCATTGTAAGCTTGTTGGACGGTCATTAGAGGTGGCTTTTTCTCCACCTCTCTACGCCAAGCATCCAAGGTGTGTTTAAGTAACTGAACGGGATCAGTGATTGGCCAGTCAGGAAACTTTTGTGTATCACATAAATGACGTAAATAATAAATATGGCAAAATAGTTCATTTTCTAACTGCGGATAACTAATAACAGGTATAGCAAGGTATGGATATCTAAAAAATATACGCATGAGGTTAACCTTTTTCCTTAATATGAGTAGCCTTACCTAGCCATTGTATGTCCTTTAAGACGTGGAGTGAAATCAGCTATATGAGCCGCTATTTTCTCTATTAATAAACGCCGCATTTCAGAACTCCATATTACCTCCGGTGTATCGAAATCTCCTAAAAAGATTTCAGCAAATTTTTCGGCAGTATAATTTTCCAAAAAACAAACCATAGCTTCGGGTAGCAAGTGACCCAAAATACTGCGATGCATTATGCCAGACTGCGAAGTCTGCGGTGAACTGCTTCGTTAAGGAAAAGACTAAAAATATTCAAAGTATAACACTAACCTCTTCACTTCTAAACCCTTGTTTCATGTGTGTCATTTTCAGGAATTTAGTTATAGGCAAAATGTTGCTTCCACTGTACATTAGCATAAAATAAAAGACCCCAGTTAAATAAATCTTTGGCATTTCAGGATTGTCTTCCATTATTTGACACAGTAACGTTGCCACTCTTTCCAATAGGCCAGGATCATGCGTTAAACTTACTTGAACAATGTGAGGTAAACAAATAAATTCGGATAGTTTTCGGGACAATTTAGGGCCTGGTATAAGGACAGCTTGCCCGTTTTGTGTCCTTGATGGGAAGAAACTGGTGCATTTAATAAATACATCTAAAATCTTAGAGGCCAATTCAGTTTCATTGTAAAGAGGTATTCCTTTCGCTATAAGGCACCATTTTAGTTGGGGTATTTGTTGCAGGGAACGCCAACCATCCATTCCTATCGCCCAACAACGTGTTTTGGGAGTAATAACACTCTTCGTCCAAAGTTCTTTTAATTCGCTATAAGTAATTGGTCCTTGTCTTTCGGGTTTTTGTCCGTCTTTTTCAACGTTATAATACCAATCTTTTTCTTCATAATGTTGTGTGTCGGGTCCTGCTTCTATTAAATTTGTTTTAGTATTTGGTTGGAAGCGGCCTTTGTGTAAGTGAGCCAAAGTTATTAAATCTACCAAACATTGGACATGTTCCACCAAAGGACGGCAATTCGATTTTTCCAGCACCAAACAAGAGATAAGGTTAATGAGAGCATCTCTCAAGGAAGGAGAAAAGCACTATCATGAAATTAAATATTAGGTAGTTGGTGAATTTAGTTGTCTTCAAAACACGTACGCGATCACACAGCTGCAATATGTATGACATATCACTAAATTGGCCAATTTCCTTATGATAGCGCCTGTAGACTTTGGCTAATGCTTGTAATGAGGTTACTGTCAATTGATCATCATTGATACGCTGGCGGCACAAAACACGGCGGTAAAGAGCGTTAAAGAGTTCCACTCTACAAAAATTTTAATTTAATTGAAAATGGAAAGCATTGCAAACCGACAAACTAACGGGTCCTTAATTAAATTTTGAGGCCAATTGTCTTTCTCCAATATTAATCGTATGTAATAATCACCGATTTGTATTTCGTCAGCCAAGGACTGGAATTACATTCTCAAGTCATTACAATTTTTATGTAAAATTCATTCAATACCTGGTAAGTAACCTGAAATTCTTGATAGTTCCATGCCACAACCATATTACCAGCCAGATCCCGATCATTCAAAAATTGTCGTAGCTCATTTTCTAAACTTATTCGTAATTCCTCGCGCGTCTAAAGGTTGATATTTTTTGTAACATTAATTAATACTATGAAGAGAAAATAACAACCTTATGGTTCCATATAAGATTGGGTAAACTGTGGTCTTTGGAAAAATTACAAAAGAAGTAAGGCAAGTTTATTATAGAATCGTTGCTTTTTTTTCTCTGACGACGATTTCTTAAAACCACCGGGCGATTCTTTAGCGCTTGGGCAGCGGGGTCCTGTTGATCCAACAAACTCAAACCCCAATGTTTAATGCCCTGGTATAAAAATTGAGTTTCGCCTTATATAATATGGTTTTTTTTTTTGTTCAAATTTTTACCTGCAAATGTTTTTCGATAACATTCTTGGGGGACTTATTGGAATGCTGTATAGCAAACTTTAGATTATCACGAAAATTTAATTTATCTTCTTCCACATCGATCTCTGGAACATTATTTTCACTTTCCAAAAACATCAGTAAACCAGCCGGCTTCAAAAAGACCAAATCAATTATATGTTTACGGTCCCGATGATATCTTAAACTTACAAATATCCTTTTAAATAACTCCATTGCTTCGTTATTATCTGTTATCCACAAAGCAATTAAATGTCTTGATAACTGACGATGTGTGGCTAAAGTTGGATCATTAGTGGGTGTATATAAAGCCACCAAAAGATGACGGCACAAGGCAGCCTCGTCTAAAGCTAAAGACTGCATTTGTTGAGCCACTTTCAATTCACCTTCTTCAATAATGGCTCTCAACACCAACCCTGCCCCTTTAACTATAGCTAACGAGGGATGTTGAAAAAGTTTATAAAGATAACGCCCTCTTTCGGCTACTAATTCCAAGAGAGTGTCGAACTGTTTACCATCGGTGGTTTCGCTATAAGGCACACAAAGAGCAAACGTCAGGAAATCCAACATGGCAGAGAGCACCAGCGCTCCACTGCCATGACTTACATGCGTTGTCCACATATTAAGTAAAGTCTCTAAGAACGTTCTCGATGACAATATGGACGACTTATTTAATTGCTCTTGCTTTAAGTCATGATTAGCATTTACAGAATGCATTAAAGAGTTGATCATATCAATGGCAGCGTAGGTAACAGCTAAATCCTTGCGCCGCAGGGCTGCCACAATTTTTGTACCGATTATTTCACGAAAACCTGACAAATGAGTAAAAGCTGCATAGCCTACTTTGCTGGCCAGCAGACGTGTAAGCCCATGAAAAATTGCTTCTAACTCGAGATTCGTTAATTGAGCAGTAGGATTGTCAATTTCCTTTTGAGCCAAGGCTTGTAGAGCGCTCATAATTAGTTTTTCTTTATTTTCGGCAAAAAGGCTCTGCAAGGATATGTTTTGAATTAATTACCGCATTGTATAAACAACTAAGCTTACATCTTGAGTGACGCTGTAGTTTAGACCGCTATGGGGTATATTGGCGTTAAAACGTTCTAACACTTCATAGCGTTTCGAAGGATTTTGAAAATTGTTAATAACCATACGTAGTAAATTGGCTTCAGTCTCTTCATCTACCCAACAGTTTAAGGGAACATAACGTTTACCGCGCGGCGTATTAACAATACTAACGTGAACATCTTGATTGCCGCTTGATCGAACGGCATCAAGCAATGTGGCCAGCAATGAATCGCGATCATTCGTGGTATAAGCTCTAACATAACCATTTTTATATTCAATCCAGAATTTTTGCAAGTTGTCGTTATCCCGCACCAAAGCAAAAACATCGCATAAGGGGCGTAGTGTACAAACGCTATAAGTTTGAGGATCACGTTCTAAAAGAGTAACTTCAGTTAAACATAGGATGCGCTTGACAGGATCTGGATGGCGTGTTGTAATCTTTTGCACTGAAAATTCAGTCATTGAAGTCTGAAACTGATCGCCGCTGTAATAAGTTGAAGTTAAGGTACAAGTTGAACTGAAAGAACACGCAGTAGACTTGCCTGTATTTTCCGAAACGCTCTTTCTCGAACTGCTCCAACGTTATTTGGGATTTAAGTATTTTAATATCAATGGCAAGGAATTGCAAGGAGCGCTGTACAATATTCTGTACAATTTCATGATGATTTAAAGCTTTAAAAAGATGTAAGCGGCTAAAACCGCCGTACGCCATGACAATACCGCCTTCATAGTCAGAAATGCCTGCTTAAAACGTTCGCAAGTGCAATGTAAGATATAACATAAAATTGTATGGATAATGAAACGCAGGTTTATAACAAACATAGACAACAATAGCACAACAATAACAGAATTTTCAGACTGCAGCGACAAGAAAAATTAATTAATATAAAACTTATAATACCTATTATGCCTTCCATATCTTTATACATGTAACTAGCTAGTATTTCATTAGTTGTGGGATCCAGTTGATCCAGCGAGCAAGGTGTAACTTCTAGAACTGTTGGCAAACTAATGCCTGACCAATGATATTTGTAAGCGGAAAACCGCTATTGAATGTAAACAAAAGAGTTACTATAAATAACAGCGCAAACAAATGCAGCAGGCAATGTCGGCTTTTATTATTTGCTTACTTGCGAATTTTTCGGTTTATCAGCAAACTCTCGATAATATTTTAATATAGAACTTAATATGTCGTTGCGATAGTCAGAAGACAACTTTATTGATTCCAGCTTTTTATCTTTTTTCACAGTGAGTACGAATTCGTTTGGAATCTATTAACGAAAAATAAAATTCTTTATTTTTTTAGAGATCGCTCATATCTAACTTACATTTGTTGTTTTGCTGGGAGCCGCTGAAACTATGTCAGAATAAGACCAACGATTGGTAAGATCTAATTTATCTGGATTATATGTGCAGATACCAACATTACCGACAGCCAGTATCCGTCTATATCTGCCTTTCCAGGAATGTTTAGTAACCAAGAAACATTCCATGTCAGTGTTTTCTTTGGACTGCACCATTTTTAATGTATTTAATCTCTGCTTAAATGTTTTATATTTACTGTTGAAGCCTCTAATCTAATGGTACTAAGATCATAGCAGATGTAAGTATGCAAAATTGATAAGTTTATGTTAACAATTCCCGAAAAGTGATCGTGATGTGAATCATCTTGTTGCAATGACTAAATTTTTCGACTGTTTTAATTTTGTTCGGAATTTTTCCAAAAATTGTTACTACACCAAAAAGTCATCACTCTTGCGTTTTTCCTTCTTTACTTTGCTTTTTTAGAAAAAAAGGGGAGTAATCGTCATGCAAAAGTTTCTTAGTTTTCTTCTTCGAATATAGCGATTATCAATGGTAATTTTCTTTGGTTACGCAGTTTTTCCATGTAAATTTTGCTATTTCTTGTTCAAATATTTTACGTATTAGAACTATTTTCACAATTTACAAGCATCCGACTAAAAACTTCTGCGAAAACAAAAAGAGCACAATAAAAAACGTTTGTCAATTAGAACAATATTACCAGCTTTACTTAGCTTAATGCTTTGTTGGCGAAAATTCAATCGTTCGGGAACTTTGGTAAATGCTATTTATCAGCTGATTATGTATTCATAAAAGATAAAGAAGACTGAGGATGAAACCAACTAAAATGTTTGCTGATTTATTAAAATTTTCAATGAATAAATTAAACGCAAATAAATTGAAAAGTAGGTGAACTTTTTATTAAATTTCGCTAACTTTGGCCAATCAAAACTAGGTAAACAAAAGTAACAAGTAAACAAGTAAAAGTAACAAAAGTAAGAAGAACAAATAAACACGCTTTTAAATCAAAGTTTATTTTGCAAATTCCATTTTCATGTTGCATAATCTTAAAGCGTAATTTTTACATTTTAACATTATTATTGTAGTGATGGCGATGATCGTATGTATGATAAGTGTATGAGATCCTCTGCAACTATTAAAGGAAGGAATTCCTCTTTTTCCTTTCCACTTTGTTCGATCGGGAAGTCCGAGAACTTATGCGGATGCATGAAAAACACCTTGCAATGCCTTTTTGGTAAACCAAAACATATATGAAATTTTGCCATAAAGTTACTTAGAATTCACTAAAACGCTATATAATGTACAAGCGTGGCCAAACATCCTTAAATCATATGTAATAATTACTTTTTGTTTTGGAGCGAAATGATCTTAATCATTAAGAACTATTTTCATTGAATTCGTCCAATTGACAAACCTAACGCGCTATAATTGGATCGACGACAATTTGTTCGAAATTTAATATCAATGACGGTAAACATGCGGGGTGCGGTATAAATGAGAATTAAAAGATATAATACTGTAAAAGTTCCTTATTCGCGGGGGATACGTTCCATAAAAATGCCGCGAATACAGAAACCTGAATACGGAATGGTAATTTATATGGGATTATTATGGGATTAGGGGATACGTTCAAAATAAAAAAATAAAGTATATAAAAAAATCAATTTAATTGAATGCGAATGTGAATTTAGTTTTGCCTCTTTAGACAATTTGTTATTTGGGGAAATTACTTAGCTGAAATGAGCTAGATTTGGGATTATCGCAATAATACTTCATTCATTTATTCATTGAGTAATAAGGTTCCTTTCATTCTGTTTGTTTAGATTCCCAAAAGCCCGTGAAAAAAGAAATTTATAGCCACGAATATGGGAATTGGTCGCATTTTTTGCATCCGCGAATAAAGGAAGCGCAAGTAAAGAACTTTTATTTTTCTTATATAAAATATGAATGAACGAACGATCATTCTTCGTTCTTCGCAGGGATTGCAGTTTACAGCGTTTATGTTTCCTGGCATATTACGGTATAAAAAGCATATTGGCAGTTTCTATAAGTTGTCAAACTCGAAGAATTCCTAGTTCGTCTAGGAGTACACTTAGAAGCCAAGCAGTACAAATGCCAACATGTGTAAATATTTCAAAGGAAATTGAAATTTTTCTGGGAAAACGAAACCTTCGTACAATCGGTAGCAAAGCTGAATTAAAACAAAGACTGGTCGAATATTTAGAAAAGAGGGAGAGGACCTGTCCGTATTTGAATTCGAATATAATATCGAGGCAGGGGAGCAAACCGACAACTTGGGAGTAGCAGAGACTGCAGCTACAGCAGGGGAAAACACAGCGAAGAAAAAGACGAAGATGGTACAAGTATATCCAGCGTTATGCAGTTTGCAATAAATGCAACACCAAACGCAACAAATAGAATCAAAAATTGACGAGAAAATTTCTCACTCAATTATCAACCGTACAATAGTCAAAGAAAAATTTGACCCGTTAGTTGGAGCACGGTTTCGGCAACAGGTGAGGAAGCTGCTATTAAAGGTAAAATATCAGAAACATATCGATTAGCGATGTTTCGATAAAGCATGAATTTCTGGTGGCAGATATAATGGACGAGGTAATATTGGAGATGGATTTTATGGCAAAAAAAAATTTAAAATAAATTTAACATCTATTTATAACCTGCTCCTATATTCCCCCAAATTCTGATATCTCCGTTTCCAAAAAACACGCTGCCCTCATTTGTGAAGTAGCCAAGCGGTCTAGACCCACCGATTTGGTCGTTGCATTGGGTGACTTCAATTTGCCTCAAGTCAGTTGGTGTAGCACTGATAATTCTGGCTGTTTGGTTCCCACTTCAACGTCTGATAGGGCTGTTGTCCTCTTTAGTGAATTGTTTGATCATAATTAGGGTCAATATAATCGTACCCCTAATTGTAATGGTAGACTGCTTGATCTCTGCTTTGCCAATTTTCCCGAGATTAACGTAAATCGTTGTCCACCTTTTAGTTTACCTGAGGATCCTTATCATCCATCAATATATATGATGGTTTGTTGAAATGCCTTAATGTGCCAAATCAAACTTCTTTAAATATTATTATTATTATTATTTTAATTTTAGACTAATGAAATGAATTCTTAGACTAAAAAAAGACATTGAGCACTAGCAACACAGGCTATCGGCTCTAATTGTAAAAAAGAATAATAAAATGTACGTTAGATAATGAGCTTAGTAGTATTGATAAAGTAATGTACAGAATTGATATTCTGTTCTGAAGCTGATTGTAGAATGTTCAAAGGGTTAATCGTTCCAAACGCAATACTTCTAGCCAAGGAAAAGTTGGGGCAGTCGCAGAGAATGTGCTTTATAGTAAGAGTTTGTCCACAACAGCAGATTGGGGAAGAAGACTTCTTCAGGATCCATTGGTGAGTTGCAATTGTATGACCAAGGCGAATTCTCGACAATGTTTGGATCTTGGTTTTCTCAACATTTGTTGGATATAGAGGTGGAGTTAATTGAGGGTTAATGCAAGAGTAGTGTTGATGATGGTATTGTAATTTCCTTCATCCATAATTAGAGGAGCAGAAGCAGCATACTTTGCCGCTCGATCAGCCTGCTCATTTCCCAGTAAACCGATGTGACTTGGTACCCATAACATTTTAATTTTTCCGTCGGGTGTAGTAATTATATTCCTTAATTTGTTGATGGTGCTCCATCTCGAAGTCGAAGGGTTCCGGGTAGCTAGTAATACAGACAAACTGTCAGTAACAATGACGGTTTTGAGTTTGTTTTTATGGGCAAGGTTGGCAGCGTGAAGGATAGCTCTGGCTTCGGTTATGAAAGTTGAAGTGCTTTTGTGAAATATGTGGTTGAGAAGAACCCGTCCTGTAGCATCTACCACCGCACAAGCAGGAGGCAGACCAGGAGATTTTGAGCCGTACAAAAGATTCCACCCAGTATTGTCCAATACTTGGGTTTTCTCAGCTATTAGATTCCTGAAGACGTAATTTGGAGTATCTTCTTTCTTGTGCATAGAAAGCGAGATGTCAAAAGAGCAGTCTTTCAAAATCCAGGGAGGTTTAAC